TCTTTTTCTTTTTTTTCGGTAATTCCACTCATTGTCAGAAACTAAACCAGGACTAAAACCAGGTCTAAACCAGGACTAAACCAGACAATCCTTATTTGAGTAAGTTTATTGGATACAATTTTTGAGTAAATATAAATTTTATTGCCCTTACAAATCAAATAAAGACAGATTACAGATTACATACACTGGAAAAAAAATATCAAGCCAAGTTAAAATGAGTTTTTCTTAATTCAAGCAACATTCAATTTTGTTTCTTATTTTAAGCACAAAAGTTGTTTTTGTTTTTTTTCTTATTTTAAGAGAAGCCAGATGTATTTTCATGTTTTAAGTTCAAAAAGTCTTGTTCCACTGGCAGATCATTTGACTTTAGGCTTTTTAATTCAAGTGATCTAAACCAGGTCTAAACCAGGACTAAACCAGGACTAAACCAGGTCTAAACCAGGTCTAAACCAGGTCTAAACCAGGTCTAAACCAGGACTAAACCAGGACTAAACCAGGACTAAACTAAACCAGGTCTAAACCAGGACTAAACCAGGTCTAAACCAGGTCTAAACCAGGACTAAACCAGGACTAAACCAGGTCTAAACCAGGTCTAAACCAGGTCTAAACCAGGTCTAAACCAGGACTAAACCAGGACTAAACTAAACCAGGTCTAAACCAGGACTAAACCAGGACTAAACCAGGACTAAACCAGGACTAAACCAGGTCTAAACCAGGTCTAAACCAGGACTAAACCAGGACTAAACCAGGACTAAACCAGGACTAAACCAGGTCTAAACCAGGACTAAACCAGGACTAAACCAGGACTAAACCAGGACTAAACCAGGACTAAACCAGGTCTAAACCAGGTCTAAACCAGGACTAAACCAGGACTAAACAGGACTAAACCAGGACTAAACCAGGTCTAAACCAGGACTAAACCAGGTCTAAACCAGGTCTAAACCAGGTCTAAACCAGGATTAAACCAAGACTAAACCAGGACTAAACCAGGTCTAAACCAGGACTAAACCAGGTCTAAACCAGGTCTAAACCAGGACTAAACCAGGTCTAAACCAGGTCTAAACCAGGTCTAAAACCAGGTCTAAACCAGGACTAAACCAGGACTAAACCAGGTCTAAACCAGGATTAAACCAAGACTAAACCAGGACTAAACCAGGTCTAAACCAGGACTAAACCAGGACTGAACGCCGGACAGAACCAGGACTAAACCAGGTCTAAACCAGGTCTAAACCAGGACTAAACCAGGTCTAAACCAGGTCTAAACCAGGACTAAACCAGGTCTAAAACCAGGTCTAAACCAGGTCTAAACCAGGTCTAAACCAGGTCTAAACCAGGTCTAAACCAGGACTAAACCAGGTCTAAACCAGGACTAAACCAGGTCTAAATCTAAACCAGGTCTAAACCAGGTAACCAGGACTAAATCAGGTCTAAACCAGGTCTAAACCAGGTCTAAACCAGGTCTAAACCAGGACTAAACCAGGTCCAAACCAGGTCTAAACCAGGACCAAACCAGGCCTAAACCAGGTCTAAACCAGGAGTAAAATCAGGACTAAACCAGGTCTAAACCAGGAGTAAAACCAGGACTAAACCAGGTCTAAACCAGGTCTAAACCAGGATTAAACCAAGACTAAACCAGGTCTAAACCAGGTCTAAACCAGATCTAAACCAGGACTAAATCAGGTCCAAACCAGGTCTAAACCAGGACTAAACCAGGTCCAAACCAGGTCTAAACCAGGACTAAACCAGGTCTAAACCAGGTCTAAACCAGGTCTAAACCAGGTCTAAACCAGGACTAAACCAGGTCTAAACCAGGACTAAATCAGGTCCAAACCAGGTCTAAACCAGGACTAAATCAGGTCCAAACCAGGTCTAAACCAGGTCTAAACCAGGACTAAACCAGGACTAAACCAGGTCTAAACCAGGTCCAAACCAGGACTAAACCAGGTCCAAACCAGGTCTAAACCAGGACCAAACCAGGACTAAACCAGGTCTAAACCAGGAGTAAAATCAGGACTAAAACATCACCGTGTCATCTTAACTTGACTAGATTTATTTTTTCATAGTAAAGTTGCTTCTGCGTAGTTACGATAATTTAACAATTTAGCAGCAAGTATATATATATTATTTATTATTATTTTTATTTTATTTTATTTTTTTATCGCTCAGTTTGGTTCAGACTCCGGGGCAAAAATGAGACCAGACTGTAGTTTATAATCAGTGTTGGGAAAGTGACTTTTAAAAACATATTCCCCTACAGATTACAGATTACACACACACCAAAATGTAGTTTGTAACGTAATCCATTAAATTACTTAAAGTGAGTAATGTAATCTGATTACTTTGGATTACTTGATTTGCTGTAGAGAAACAAAGACGAGGAAATCTTCACATAAGAAGTTTTGTCTGATAAAAGAAAATAAAAAGTCCAGACTTTATTGTAACTAAATTAAAAATATTATTGATAGAAGAAGAAGAAACACGTCCACACAGCAGGATTTAGTCCTGTTAAATCCTGTTTTAGTCCTGGTTTAGATCTAGTTTAGACCTGGTTTAGACCTGGTTTAGTCCTGGTTTAGTCCTGGTTTAGTCCTGGTTTAGTCCTGGTTTAGACCTGGTTTAGACCTGGTTTAGACCTGGTTTAGTCCTGGTTTAGACCTGGTTTAGACCTGGTTTAGACCTGGTTTAGTCCTGGTTTTAGTTCTGATTTAGACCTGGTTTAGACCTGGTTTAGACCTGGTTTAGACCTGGTTTAGTCCTGGTTTAGTCCTGGTTTAGACCTGGTTTAGACTTGGTTTAGTCCTGGTTTTAGACCTGGTTTAGACCTGGTTTAGACCTGGTTTAGTCCTGGTTTAGTCCTGGTTTAGTCCTGGTTTAGTCCTGGTTTAGACCTGGTTTAGTCCTGGTTTAGACCTGGTTTAGTCCTGGTTTAGACCTGGTTTAGACCTGGTTTTAGTCCTGGTTTTAGACCTGGTTTAGACCTGGTTTAGTCCTGGTTTAGACCTGGTTTAGACTTGGTTTAGTCCTGGTTTTAGACCTGGTTTAGACCTGGTTTAGACCTGGTTTAGTCCTGGTTTAGTCCTGGTTTAGACCTGGTTTAGACCTGGTTTAGTCCTGGTTTAGTCCTGGTTTAGTCCTGGTTTAGACCTGGTTTAGTCCTGGTTTAGTTTAGACCTGGTTTAGTCCTGGTTTAGACCTGGTTTAGTCCTGGTTTAGTCCTGGTTTAGACCTGGTTTAGACCTGGTTTAGTCCTGGTTTAGACCTGGTTTAGTCCTGGTTTAGTCCTGGTTTAGTCCTGGTTTAGACCTGGTTTAGTCCTGGTTTAGTCCTGGTTTAGACCTGGTTTAGTCCTGGTTTAGTCCTGGTTTAGTCCTGGTTTAGTCCTGGTTTAGACCTGGTTTAGACCTGGTTTAGTCCTGGTTTAGTCCTGGTTTAGACCTGGTTTAGACCTGGTTTAGACCTGGTTTAGACCTGGTTTAGTCCTGGTTTAGTCCTGGTTTAGACCTGGTTTAGTCCTGGTTTAGACCTGGTTTAGACCTGGTTTAGTCCTGGTTTAGCCCGAAATGTGAAAACAGTAAAATCCCTCTGTGTTTAATCCATTTACTTTCAACAAAGTAACTGTAATCCAATTCCCACTCACTGAAACAGTAACTGTAACTGAATACAGTTACTCATCATTTGTACTCTGATTACTCCGGTACATGTAATCTGTTACTCTGTTGGTAAGAGTCAGAGACGTGTTTGTGTTCGTGATTTCAGGTTCAGGCCTGTGGAAGGAAAGTGCAGAAAATCTCTTCCTTTCTGAGACTTTTGTTTCTGGTGAAAAATCTGAGTTCCTGTTTCGTTCCTTCGCTCTCGCCGCTTCCTCTTTTCTCGCTCGTCCAGATCTGCTGAGGTCACAGTCACCGCCGCGTAAAACTCAGATCTGAGCTCCATATACGCAGGTCTACACCGTGTATTTTTATTTCTAAATTTAAAAAGAAAAAAAAAACAAAACAACACTTTGCTGCCCCCTTTTGGCCAAAGACGATAATATTTAAACGATAATAAGCAAAATATGTTCTGATACAAGAGAGGAAAACGTGTTTTAAAGACGGCGGCGGCAAAACTCAAAAACTGTGACGTCCTGAGTCTGTAGTGGTTGGTTATTCAGAACTAAACCAGGACTAAAGTCAGGTCTAAACCAGGACTAAACCGGGTCTAAACCATGTCTAAACTGGGTCTAAACCAGGACTAAATCAGGACTAAACCAGGACTAAACCAGGACTAAACCAGGTCTAAATCAGGACTAAAATCAGGACTAAACCAGGACTAAACCAGGACTAAACCAGGACTAAACCAGGTCTAAACCAGGTCTAAACCAGGACTAAAATCAGGACTAAACTCAGGACTATAATGAGGACTAAAGTTAGGTCTAAACCAGGTCTAAACCGGGTCTAAACCAGGACTAAACCAGGACTAAAACCAAGACTAAACCAGGTCTAAACTCAGGACTAAACTAGCACTAAATCAGGACTAAAATCAGGACTAATCCAGGACTAAATCAGGACTAAACCAGGACTAAAATCAGGACTAAAACCAGGACTAAACCAGGACTAAACCAGGTCTAAACCAGGTCTAAACCAGGTCTAAATCAGGACTAAAATCAGGACTAATCCAGGACTAAATCAGGACTAAACCAAGACTAAAATCGGGACTAAAACCAGGACTAAACCAGGACTAAACCAGGTCTAAACCAGGTCTAAATCAGGACTAAAATCAGGACTAAAATCAGGACTAAACAGGACTAAACCAAGACTAAAATTGGGACTAAAACCAGGACTAAAAACAGGACTAAAACCAAGTCTAAACCAGGTCTAAACTCAGAACTAAACTAGGACTAAACTAGGACTAAATCAGGACTAAAATCAGGACTAATCCAGGACTAAATCAGGTCTAAACCAGGACTAAAATCGGGACTAAAACAGGTCTAAACCAGGTCTAAACCTCATATTTCTGGGAGAATAACATTGTGGTTACAGATTTCAACATGTTTGCATAATTAAAAGCATTTCTCTTTCTTTTTTCTCTTTCTTTTTTTGCTGCCAGACCTCTGTAAGTCCGGTCTGAGGTCCAAGCCGGGACTAAACCGGGACTAAACCAGGGACTAAACCCTCTCCCGCTCCCTCCCTGTCCCCCTTTAGGAGAGGGGGGCTGGGGCTCGCCGCTGCTGCTGCTGCTGCTGCTGGACGCCGTCGGGGTCGTCGGCGTCGGTCGTGGTGAATCCCTCGGGCCGGATCTCCATGACGACGGTCTTGAGCGAGTACCACCAGCCTCGCCACGGAAACCACACCACGCCGTCGTCGGACCGGGCGCTGTAGTGTCCCCCCCGGGTAGTAGCGTCCGTTCAGGTGAGCGCAGTGACACCTGCAGGACGGAGCGGGAAACACACCTGAACAGGTGAGGTTTTCTTTGGCTTTATGTCTGATGGTGTTAAAACCAGTCTAAACCAGGTCTAAACCAGGTCTAAACCAGGTCTAAACCAGGTCTAAACCAGGTCTAAACCAGGACTAAACCAGGTCTAAACCAGGTCTAAACCAGGTCTAAACCAGGTTCTAAACAGGTCTAAACCAGGTCTAAACCAGGTCTAAACCAGGACTAAACCAGGTCTAAACCAGGTCTAAACCAGAAACCAGGTAAACCAGGACTAAACCAGGACTAAATCCAGGACTAAACCAGGTCTAAACTAAACCAGGTCTAAACCAGGAAACCAGGTAAACCAGGTCTAAACCAGGACTAAACCAGGTCTAAACCAGGACTAAACCAGGACTAAACCATAAACCAGGACTAAACCAGGTAAACCAGGTCTAAACCAGGTAAACGTCTAAACCAGGACTGGTCTACCAGGACTAAACCAGGACCAAACCAGGTTAAACCAGGTGCTAAGAGGACTAATTTAAACCAGGTCTACTAAACCAGGACCTAAACCAGTTAAATCAGGACAAAACCAGTTTTAAGGACTGTTCCAGTTTTTTTTACTTCAAAAATCTGGTCACTTTAACTCGGATGAAACACACTCACTCTTAAAAAAACTTAAAAAAAAAGAAAACCGTGGGTATGAAGCGCGGGGTTAATGTTTGTGTGTTTTGTGTTTTACTTGTTGAACCACCAGCCGCCCTGATCTTCCGCCGCACAGTTCCCGTCGTAGTTGTCGTTGTCGCGGTCGAAGGTGCTGAAGTTGGCCCCCTGGTGGCTGGACCAGGACGCGGCGCCCACTTCCAGTTTCCCCGAGAGCGCGTCTCCGGCCGTGCCCACGTACCCGCCGAAGGAGAGCCGGTACTGCTCCTGCAGCGGGCGAAAGAGAAGACACTGGTGTGGGATTGTACTTTTTATTTTTTTAACAGGGACTTTCAGCGTCTCTCGCCACAAACGGACCTGGAGTCGTTTTTAAACAGAAAGTCGCCCTGAGTGGACGAGGTACAAACCCGAGGAACTCCCACTGAATTTATTAAAAGACATTATTGCAAGTGTCCAAATGTCTCCAAGACCGAGACAAGACAGAGTCCAAAAGTCTTCAAGACCAAGTCCTTCCACCTTCAAGATCGAGACAAGACCAAGTCCTTCCACCTTCAAGACCGAGACAAGACAAGTCCTTCCACCTTCAAGACCGAGACAAGACTGAGACAAGACCGAGACAAGACCGAGACAAGACTGAGACAAGACCGAGACAAGACCAAGTCCAAAAGTCTTCAAGACCAAGTCCTTCCACCTTCAAGACCGAGACAAGACTGAGACAAGACCGAGACAAGACTGAGACAAGACCGAGACAAGACTGAGACAAGACCGAGACAAGACCGAGACAAGACCGAGACAAGACCGAGACAAGACAGAGTCCAAAAGTCTTCAAGACTGAGTCCAAAAGTCTTCAAGACCAAGTCCTTGCACCTTCAAGACTAAGACAAGACTGAGACAAGACTGAGTCCAAGCACCTTCAAGACCGAGACGAGACCGAGTCCAAACACCTTCAAGACCGAGACGAGACCGAGTCCAAACACCTTCAAGACCGAGACAAGACCGAGTCCAAACACCTACAAGACCGAGTCCAAACACCTTCAAGACCGAGTCCAAACACCTTCAAGACCGAGTCCAAACACCTTCAAGACCGAGACAAGACCGAGTCCAAACGTCTTCAAGACCGGGACAAGACCGAGTCCAAATGTCTTCAAGACCGAGTCCTTGCACCTTCAAGACCGAGACAAGACCGAGACAAGACCGAGACAAGACCGAGACAAGACCGAGACAAGGCTGAGTTCAAACACCTTCAAGACCGAGACAAGACCGAGTCCAAACGTCTTCAAGACCGAGTCCTTGCACCTTCAAGACCGAGACAAGACCGAGACAAGACCGAGACAAGGCTGAGTTCAAACATCTTCAAGACTGAGACAAGACCAAGTCCAAACGTCTTCAAAACTGAGACAAGACCAAGTCCAAACGCCTTCAAGACTGAGACAAGGCTGAGTTCAAACATCTTCAAGACTGAGACAAGACCAAGTCCAAGCGCCTTCAAGACCGAGTCCAAAGACCTTCAAGACCGAGACAAGACCAAGTCCAAGCGCCTTCAAGACTGAGACAAGACCGAGTCCAAAGACCTTCAAGACCGAGACAAGACCGAGTCCAAACACCTTCAAGACCGAGACAAGACCGAGTCCAAACACCTTCAAGACCGAGACAAGACCGAGTCCAAACACCTTCAAGACCGAGACAAGGCTGAGTTCAAACATCTTCAAGACCGAGTCCAAAACAAACAAACACAACTCCAGGTAAGAACGTTTCACCTGCTCCTCTCCCACTCTGAAGTCTCTGTATTCGGCGTAGCGCTGGTTTCCCTCAAAGTCCTCCAGGTTTATCCTCAGAGAAAAGTTCCCTGCAACAAACGAAAGTATCGAGATAAAAAAATATAATAATAATAATAATAATAATAATAATAATAATAATAATAACACATTTGCACAAAACAGTCCAGGAAATGATCATCTTTAAAAGCACCGCGTTCACCTTGAGCTGTGAGGTGATGCAGGTTTTCATTCCCGAGCCAAAACTCTCCCGAATCTGACTCAAAGTCTCCAAAACCGTTTTTGTATTCTTCCCAGGACCTGAAAATATGTGAGAGGAGAAGGTCAGAAGATGAAGAGGATGAAGAGAGAGGATGAAGAGGATGAAGAGGATGAAGAGCAGAGGATGAAGAGGAGAGGATGAAGAGGAGAAGGAGAGGAGCAGAGGATGAAGAGGAGAAGGTCAGAAGAGAAGATGAAGAGGATGAAGAGGAGAGGAGAAGTCAGAGGATGAAGAGGATTGAAGAGGAGAGGATGAAGAGGATGAAGTCAGAGGATGAAGAGGAGATCAGAGGATGAGAGGAGAGAGGAGAAGAGCAGAGGATGAAGAGGAGAAGGGATCAAAGGAGAGAGGGTCAGAGGATGAAGAGGAGAGAGAGGTCAGAGGATGAAGAGGATGAAGAGGGTCAGAGGATGAAGGAAGATGAAGAGGATGAAGAGGAGTCAGAGGATGAAGAGGAAGGTCAGAGGATGATCAGAGGATGAAGATCAGAGGGTCAGAGGATGAAGATCAGAGGGTCAGAGGGTCAGAGGATGAAGAGGAGAAGATCAGAGGGTCAGAGGATGAAGAGGATGAGGGTCAGAGGATGAAGATCAGAGGGTCAGAGGGTCAGAGGATGAAGATCAGAGGGTCAGAGGGTCAGAGGATGAAGAGGATGAAGGTCAGAGGATGAAGATCAGAGGGTCAGAGGGTCGAGAGAGATCAGAGGGTCAGAGGATGAGAGGTCAGAGGATGAAGATCAGAGGGTCAGAGGATGAAGATCAGAGGTCAGAGGTCAGAGGATGAAGGAGAGGGTCAGAGGTGAAGTCAGAGGGTCATGAAGATCAGAGGAGAGGGTCAGAGGGTCAGAGGATGAAGATCAGAGGGTCAGAGGATGAAGATCAGAGGGTCAGAGGGTCAGAGGATGAAGGTCAGAGGGTCAGAGGATGAAGATCAGAGGGTCAGAGGGTCAGAGGATGAAGATCAGAGGGTCAGAGGATGAAGGTCAGAGGGTCAGAGGATGAAGATCAGAGGGTCAGAGGATGAAGATCAGAGGGTCAGAGGATGATCAGAAGAGGTCAGAGGATCAGAGGATGAAGGTCAGAGGGTCAGAGGATGAAGGGTCAGAGGGTCAGAGGGTCAGAGGATGAAGATCAGAGGGTCAGAGGGTCAGAAGGATGAAGGTCAGAGGGTCAGAGGGTCATGAAGGTCAGAGGGTCAGAGGATGAAGGTCAGAGGATCAGAGGGAGGTCAGAGGGTCAGAGGATGAAGGTCAGAGGTCAGAGGGTCAGAGGATGAAGGTCAGAGGGTCAGAGGATCAGAGGTCAGAGGATGAAAGTCAGAGGGTCAGAGGATGAAGATCAGAGGGTCAGAGGGTAGGATGAGATCAGAGGGTCAGAGGATGAAGAGGAGAGAGGGTCAGAAGGTCAGAGGATGAAGAGGTCAGAGGGTCAGAGGATGAAGGTCAGAGGGTCAGAGGATGAAGGTCAGAGGGTCAGAGGATGAAGATCAGAGGGTCAGAGGGTCAGAGGATGAAGGTCAGAGGGTCAGAGGATGAAGGTCAGAGGGTCAGAGGATGAAGATCAGAGGGTCAGAGGGTCAGAGGATGAAAGGTCAGAGGGTCAGAGGATGAAGGTCAGAGGGTCAGAGGATGAAGGTCAGAGGGAGTCAGAGGATGAAAGTCAGAGGTCAGAGGATGAAAGTCAGAGGGTCAGAGGATGAAGATCAGAGGGTCAGAGGATGAAGAGGAGAGGGTCAGAAGGTCAGAGGATGAAGGTCAGAGGGTCAGAAGGTCAGAGGATGAAGGTCAGAGGGTCAGAGGATGAAGAGGAGAGGGTCAGAAGGTCAGAGGATGAAGGTCAGAGGGTCAGAGGATGAAGTCAGAGGGTCAGAGGTGAAGATCAGAGGGTCAGAGGATGAAGGTCAGAGGTCAGAGGGTCAGAGGTCATGAGTCAGAGGTCAGAGGATGAAGGTCAGAGGGTCAGAGGATCAGAGGATGAAGGTCAGAGGGTCAGAGGGAAGGGTCAGAGGGTCAGAGGATGAAGGTCAGAGGTCAAGAGGGTCAGAGGGTCAGAGGATGAAGGTCAGAGGGTCAGAGGGTCAGAGGATGAAGGTCAGAGGTCAGAGGGTCAGAGGACTCAGACAGGGCAGAGCAGTGTGTCCCCGGCAGCGCCCTCTGCTGGTCAGTACCTGTTGAAGCTCTGCGTGCCGTCGGTGCGTCTCTGGATCACGGTCCAGCCTCCTCCTCCGCTCACGTCGCAGTAAACCAGGACCGGAGCCGGACTCTGCTCGGGTCTGATCCGGTACCAGCCGCTGGACCTCAAACCGGCGCTGAAAACCTGGGAGCAGTCTGCAGGCCGACAGAGCGGGTCAGTTTCACGTGTGTTTGTGCTCCCTGTACCGTTTGTTCTTTTGAATTTCAATTAAGAACAAAAAAAAATATAAAACAGGAAAATCTGCGTGTCGTTCGTTCATTCGTTTTTCAAAATAAAACCAAAAACAAGAAAACTCTCTCACCTCTGTACTGCGTATCCTCTGGCTGTTCCGCTCTCCTCCCTCCTCTGTACTGTGTATCCTCTGGCTGTTCCGCTCTCCTCCCTCTTCTGTACTGTGTATCCTCTGGCTGTTCCGCTCTCCTCCCTCCTCTCTCACCTCTGTACTGTGTATCCTGTGGCTGTTCCACTCTCCTCCCTCTCACCTCTGTACTGCGTATCCTGTGGCTGTTCCGCTCTCCTCCCTCCCTCCCTCGTCTCTCACCTCTGTACTGTGTATCCTCTGGCTGTTCCACTCTCCTCCCTCCTCTGTACTGTGTATCCTCTGGCTGTTCCACTCTCCTCCCTCCTCTGTACTGTGTATCCTGTGGCTGTTCCGCTCTCCTCCCTCCTCTCTCACCTCTGTACTGCGTATCCTCTGGCTGTTCCACTCTCCTCCCTCCTCTCTCACCTCTGTATTGCGTATCCTGTGGCTGTTCCGCTCTCCTCCCTCTCACCTCTGTACTTCGTATCCTGTGGCTGTTCCGCTCTCCTCCCTCCTCTCTCACCTCTGTACTGCGTATCCTGTGGCTGTTCCGCTCTCCTCCCTCTCACCTCTGTACTGTGTACCCTCTGGCTGTTCCGCTCTCCTCCCTCCCTCCTCTGTACTGCGTATCCTCTGGCTGTTCCGCTCTCCTCCCTCCTCTCTCACCTCTGTACTGCGTATCCTGTGGCTGTTCCACTCTCCTCCCTCCCTCCTTTCTCACCTCTGTACTGTGTACCCTCTGGCTGTTCCGCTCTCCTCCCTCCCTCCTCTGTACTGCGTATCCTGTGGCTGTTCCGCTCTCCTCCCTCCTCTCTCACCTCTGTACTGCGTATCCTGTGGCTGTTCCGCTCTCCTCCCTCTCACCTCTGTACTGCGTATCCTGTGGCTGTTCCGCTCTCCTCCCTCCTCTCTCACCTCTGTACTGTGTATCCTGTGGCTGTTCCGCTCTCCTCCCTCTCACCTCTGTACTGTGTATCCTGTGGCTGTTCCGCTCTCCTCCCTCTCACCTCTGTACTGTGTATCCTCTGGCTGTTCCGCTCTCCTCCCTCCTCTCTCACCTCTGTACTTCGTATCCTGTGGCTGTTCCGCTCTCCTCCCTCCTCTCTCACCTCTGTACTGCGTATCCTGTGGCTGTTCCGCTCTCCTCCCTCTCACCTCTGTACTGTGTATCCTGTGGCTGTTCCGCTCTCCTCCCTCCTCTCTCACCTCTGTACTTCGTATCCTGTGGCTGTTCCGCTCTCCTCCCTCCTCTCTCACCTCTGTACTGCGTATCCTGTGGCTGTTCCGCTCTCCTCCCTCTCACCTCTGTACTGTTTATCCTGTGGCTGTTCCGCTCTCCTCCCTCTGTCGTCGTAGTCTTGGGCTCTTCTCTGTTTCATTCTGTGGATGATCAGCTCTTGTCGCTGCAGTTGGACTCTCAGGTCTCTCTCTTTGTCCCTGAGTCGAGTCGCCTCCTCGGAGCAAACGTCCGCCAACACCTGCCAAGTTTGAACGAGACGAAGCCGCGTGTCGATCGTTCGTTTGTTTTTCAAAATAAAACCAAAAATAAGAAAAAGAAAAAACAATTAACAACAGATAATGATTCGGGTTTTTTTTTTTTTTCAGTTTTTGATTTTGTGTTTAAATGAAAAATGGAAAAAAAAAAAAAAAAAGAATGACTCCACAGATAAATACTGATGCAGAGTCACATATTTGAACATTTATCTGTAAATTGGATTAAATGAACAGAATGTAAAGAGTCTAAGATTTATAACGAGGTATAACCTGCCCACGGGAAATATCGGCCCCTATCAGCAAACATATCGGCCGATAATATTGGCCAACCGATATATAAGTCGGGCTCTACTAACTGTACTAGTAAAAGTACTATTGTGTCTCTGCAGACTGACCTGAGCGACCTGGACCAGGACCAGTCCTGTCAGAAGAGCTCGTCTCGTCCTCTCCATGTTCAGATTTCTCCTTCTCTCCGTCTTCAGATTTCTTCTTCTCTCCGTCTTCAGATTTCAGGTTTGGGTTTTGTTTTGGTTTTTTCTCTAAATCTTCAGTCTGCAGGAGTCGTGCACCTGGATCAGAGCTCGGCCCAGATTCCTGATTCTCTCCAGAAGCACAAATATGAAGGAGGAGGAGTGTGCAGCAGATGGGAGAAAAGAGTCAACAGGGACCAAAAAACATGCAGTAAGAGTACAATTACTTTAAAGTAGAAGTACAAAGTAATGATCCAAGAAATAACTCAAATAAGAGTAAAAAGTATTTGGGGGAAAAGTGCTGGAATTTTGTGTTTGAAAATGTTAACAAGTAAAAAACAACAACAACAAGAAAAAGTTAGAAAAAGTTACACAAGTAAATTCAAAATGTTTACTCAAGTAGAAGTACAAAGTAGGAATAACTCAAGTGAGAGTAAAAAGTATTTTAATGCTGGTATTTTGTGTCTGAAAACGTTAACAAGTAAGTAAAAAAAAACAACAACAACAAAAATTTGACAAAGTTACATAAGTTAATTCAAAATATTTACTGAAGCAGAAGTGGTCCGAGAAATACTTCAAGTGAGAGTAAAAAGTATTTGGGGGAAAGTGCTGGTATTTTGTGTTTGAAAATGTTTACAATTAGTAAAAAAAACAAAAAAAAAACAAAAAAACAAAAAAAACAACAAAAGCTACACAAGTAAATGTAGCAGGTGCTCTTTTTTTTTTTTTTTTTTTTTACTACTACAGTTATTTTCAGTGGTTAATTTTCATAAAAAGAACCTCTATGAAAAAAAAAAAAAAACAAATCAATAATCTGAAATAACCAAACTTCATTTCTACAAACTGACAAATGGAAAATGGCTCGTACATTCTCAGTTTCAGACATTTTAAAAGTACGACGAAGTATAAGGGTCAGATAAAAAAAACAACAACATGCTGGCGCTTCGAGAATAAAGTCGTAACATTTCAACATTAAAGTCGTAATATTATGAGAATAAAGTCGAAGCCAGAAAAAGTCGTAATTTTACGAGAATAAAGTCGTAGTCAAAATAAAGTCATAATATTGTGAGAAATCGGCTGCTCGTGGAGAATGGAGAATTTGGAGCATTTTGTAAAGGAGAAAAATCTGTGTATCATTCGTTCATTCGACTGAACAAGGACTGAATCAGGACTAAATCAAGTCTGGAACCAAACCAGAAAGATCAGGATTGAGACCGGGACCAGACCAGGACTGAAAACGGTTTAGTCCTAGTTTAGTCCTGGTTTAAGTCACGGAAATGGGAAATGGCGTTTACGTGACTTTAAAATGCGACTGAACCAGGACTGAACCAGGACTGAACCAGGACTAAACCAGGACTGAACCAGGACTAAACCAGGACTGAACCAGGACTAAACCAGGTCTGAACCAGGACTGAACCAGGACTGAACCAGGTCTGAACCAGGACTGAAACCAGGACTAAACCAGGAACCAGGACTGAACCAGGACTGAACCAGGTCTGAACCAGGACTAAACCAGGACTGACTGACCACCAGGACTAACCAGGACTAAACCAGGTCTGAACCAGGACTGAACCAGGACTGAACCAGGTCTGAACCAGGACTGAACCAGGACTAAACCAGGACTGAACCAGGACTGAACCAGGTCTGAACCAGGACTGAACCAGGACTAAACCGGGACTGAACCAGGACTGAACCGGGACTGAACCGGGACTGAACCGGGTCTGAACCGGGACTGAACCAGGACTAAACCAGGACTGAACCAGGACTGAACCAGGTGAACCAGGTCTGAACCAGGACTAATAAACCAGGTCTGAACCAGGACTAAACCAGGACTGAACCAGGTCTGAACCAGGACTAAACCAGGTCTGAACCAGGACTAAACCAGGACTGAACCAGGACTGAACCAGGACTGAAACAGGACTGAACCCAGGACTAAAACCAGGACTGAACCAGGACTGAACCAGGACTGAACCAGGACTAACCAGGACTCCAGGACTGAACCAGGACTAAACCAGGACTGAACCAGGACTGAACCAGGACTAAACCAGGACTAAACCAGGACTGAACCAGGACTGAACCAGGACTAACCAGGAACCAGGACTGAACCAGGACTGAACCAGACCAGGACTGAACCAGGACTGAACCAGGACTGAACCAGGACTGAACCAGGACTAAACCAGGTCTGAACCAGGACTAACCACCAGGACTGAACCAGGACTAAACCAGGACTGAACCAGGACTGAACCAGGACTAAACCAGGACTGAACCAGTCTAACCAGGACTAAACCAGGACTGAACCAGGACTAAACCAGGACTGAACCAGGACTAAACCAGGACTGAACCAGGACTGAACCAGGACTAAACCAGGACTGAACCAGGTCTGAACCAGGACTGAACCAGGTCTAAACCAGGACTAAACCAGGTCTGAACCAGGACTAAACCAGGTCTGAACCAGGTCTGAATCGTTTTCAATCCTGGTCTCAGTCCCGGTCTGGTCCCGGACCTCGTTTAGTCCTGGTCCTGGTTCAGTCCGGAGGCGCAAATAATGAAGAAAATTGTTGTTCATTTTCTTATTTTTGGTTTTATATTGAAAAACAAGGTTCTTCTTCTGCCTCATTTTTCACTTTGACTTTGATTTTATTTCGACTTCATTCTCGTAATATTATAACTTTATTTTAACTTCGACTTTATTCTCGTAAAATTACGACTTTATTCTCATAAACTTACAACTTTTTCTGGCTTCTACTTTATTCTCATAATATTACGACTTTAATGTCGAAATGTTACGACTTTATTCTCGTAGCTCCAGCATTTAATTTATTTTTTATTTTTATCTGACCCTTATACTCTGTCGTATAAAAGCATAAAAACACCACAAAAAATACCAACATGAAGATTAATAGAAACATTAAATAAAAAAAAAAAATAAAAAAAATGATGATTTTATGATGAAATTAAAAACAGGTCTGCTGAAAAAGATCGAAGAATTATCGACAATTTGAATAATGCAAAAAGCGATTAATTCTGTAAGAAATGATGAAACTTCTCCCAGATATTGTACAAAGTGTTTATTAAATTGTGTATTTACAAAAGTTTGTAGTAAATAGTTTTGAATCTAAACCATGTTTCTTGTGTTCTTCGAGAAACACCTCGTCAGTCGGCCTGAGACACAAAAGGTACAAGTCACTAAAAGTATCTGCAGTATTAGATGGATTTGTGAGTCCTCCCCCTGCTGGTCGCGTCAGGAGTCTCACCTTCAGGTCCAGGTCTGACTTCCTCTGACTTTTCTGCACCTCCCGTTTCCTGGCTCCAGATTCTGTGGGTTTAACTGAACACAAAAGAGTTTCAACGGGTCAAACTCCTGTGGATTTTACTTTTGGATATTTCTCATGAGTAATCAGAGTACAAACGATGAGTAACTGTATTCAGTTACAGTTACTGCGTCAGTGAGTGGGAATTGGATTACAGTTACTTTGTTGAAATAAATGGATTACACAGAGGGATTTTACTGTCTAAAACCAGGTCTAAACCAGGTCTAAACCAGGTCTAAACCAGGTCTAAACCAGGTCTAAACCAGGTCTAAAACCAGGTCTAAACCAGGTAAAACCAGGTCTAAACCAGGTTTAAAACTAAACCAGGACTAAACAGGTCTAACCAGGACTAAAACCAGGTCTAAACCAGGTCTAAACCAGGTTTAAAACCAGGTCTAAACCATGACTAAACCAGGTCTAAACCAGGACTAAAACCAGGTCTAAACCAGGTCTAAACCAGGTCTAAAACTCTAAACCAAAAACCAGGTCTAAACAGGTCTAAACCAGGTCTAAACCAGGTAAAACCAGGTCTAAACCAGGTCTAAAACCAGGTCTAAACCAGGTCTAAACCAGGACTAAAACCAGGTCTAAACCAGGTCTAAACCAGGTCTAAAACCAGGACTAAAACCAGGTCTAAACCAGGTCTAAACCAGGTCTAAAACCAGGTCTAAACCATGGCCAAACCAGGTCTAAAACCAGGCCTAAACCAGGCTTAAACCAGGTCTAAAACCAGGTCTAAACCAGGACTAAAACCAGGTCTAAACCAGGTCTAAACCAGGTCTAAACCAGGACTAAAACCAGGTCTAAACCATGGCCAAACCAGGTCTAAAACCAGACCTAAACCAGGCTTAAACCAGGTCTAAAACCAGGTCTAAACTAGGTCTAAACCAGGTCTAAAACCAGGTCTAAACCAGGACTAAAACCAGGTCTAAACCAGGTCTAAACCAGGTCTAAACCAAGGCTAAACCACCTAACCTAGGACTGGTTCCAGGACTGAACTAGGACTAAAACAGGACTTATTGTCGGGATTGGCCCCGAGGTGAGCACCTGACCGGGACCAGACCGGGACCAGACCAAAACTGAGGCCGGAGCCAAACCAGTACCAGACCGGGACTGAGACCGGGACCAGACCTGGACTGAAAACAGTTTAGTCCTGGTTTAAGTCACGGAAATGGGAAACGGTGTTTCCGTGACTTAAAATGTGATGCGGGACTAATGCGCCGCATATGGACTGAACCAGGACTGAACCAGGACTAAACCAGGACTGAACCAGGACTGAAACCATAAACCAGGACTAAACCAGGACTAAACCAGGGACTAAACAGGAAACCAGGACTGAACCATTTTCAGTCCTGGTCTGATCCTGGTCTCACGGTCTCACGGTCTGGTCCTGGTCTGGTCCCGGCCTCAGTCCTAGTCTCAGTCCCGGTCTCAGTCCTGGTTTGGTCCTGGTCTTGGTCTGGTCCCGGTTTCAGTCCCGGTCTCAATCCTGGTCTCAGTTCTCGTCTGGTCCCGGTCTAAGTCCTGGTCTCAGTCCTGGTTCAATCCTGGTTCAGTCCAGAGGCGCAAATGAAGAAAATAGTTGTTTTTTCGTTTTCTTATTTTTGGTTTTATTTTGAAAAATGAATGAACGAACGACACACGGACTGAGGTTTTTCTTCTGCGACATTTTTCACTTTGACTTTGAGTTTATTTCGACTTCATTCTCGTAAAATTATAACTTTATTTTCATAATATTACGACTTTATTCCTGGGGAGGAGCCAAATTAACACAATTGAATTAACACTAAAATAAGTTGAATTAACATTAAAATAAGTTGAATTAACACTAAAAGAAGTTGAATTAACATTAAATAAGTTGAATTAACATTAAAATAAGTTGAATTAACATTAAAATAAATTGAATTAACACTAAAATAAGTTGAATTAACACTAAATAAGTTGAATTAACACTAAAAAGTTGAATTAACACTAAAATAAGTTGAATTAACACTTAAATAAGTTGAATTAATTAACACTAAGAAGAAGTTGAATTAACACTAAAATAAGTTGAATTAACACTAAAATTGAATTAACACTAAAATAAGTTGAATTAACACTAAAATAAGTTGAATTAACATTAAAATAAGTTGAATTAACACTAAGAAGTTGAATTAACACTAAAATAAGTTGAATTAACATTAAAATAAGTTGAATTAACACTAAGAGTTGAAGTTGAATTAACACTAAAATAAGTTGAATTAACATTAAAATAAGTTGAATTAACACTAAAATAAAGTTGAATTAAGTTGAATTAACATAAAATAAGTTGAATAAGTTGAATTAACACTAAAATAAGTTGAATTAACACTAAAATAAGTTGAATTAACATTAAAAATAAAATAAGTTGAATTAACACTAATTAACACTAAAATAAGTTGAATTAACATTAAAAGTTGAATTAACACTAAAATAAGTTGAATTAACACTAAACATTAACACTAAGAGAAGTTGAATTAACATTAAAATAAGTTGAATTAACACTAAAATAAGTTGAATTAACACTAAAATAAGTTGAATTAACACTAAAATAAGTTGAAGTTGAATTAACACTAAAATAAGTTAATTAAATAAGTTGAATTAACACTAAAATAAGTTGAATTAAGTTGAATTAACACTAAAATAAGTTGAATTAACACTAAAATAAGTTGAATTAACACTAAAATAAGTTGAATTAACATAAAATAACACACTAAAATAAGTTGAATTAACACTTAAAATTAAGTTGAAGTTGAATTAACACTAAAATAAGTTGAATTAACACTAAAATAAGTTGAATTAACATTAAAATAAGTTTTAATTAACACTAAAAAGTTGAATTAAGTTGAATTAACACTAAAATAAGTTGAATTAACACTAAAATAAGTTGAATTAACACTAAGTTGAATTAACATTAAAATAAGTTGAATTAACACTAAAATAAGTTGAATTAACACTAAAAAGTTGAAGTTGAACACTAAAATAAGTTGAATTAACATTAAAATAAGTTGAATTAACATTAAAATAAGTTGAATTAACACTAAAATAAGTTGAATTAACACTAAAATAAGTTGAATTAACACTAAAATAAGTTGAATTAACACTAAAATAAGTTGAATTAACATTAAAATAAGTTGAATTAACATTAAAATAAGTTGAATTAACACTAAAATAAGTTGAATTAACACTAAAATAAGTTGAATTAACACTAAAATAAGTTGAATTAACACTAAAATAAGTTGAATTAACACTAAAATAAGTTGAATTAACACTAAGAAGTTGAATTAACACAAAAATAAGTTGAATTAACACTAAAATAATTTGAATTAACACTAAGAGAAGTTTAATTAACATTAAAATAAGTTGAATTAACACTAAGAGAAGTTGAATTAACATTAAAATAAGTTGAATTAACACTAAAATAAGTTGAATTAACACTAAAATAAGTTGAATTAACACTTAAAAAGTTGAAGTTGAATTAACACTAAAATAAGTTGAATTAACATTAACTTAAAATAAGTTGAATTAACACTAAATAAGTTGAATTAACACTAAGGGAAGTTGAATTAACACTAAAATAAGTTGAATTAACACTAAAATAAGTTGAATTAACACTAAAATAAGTTGAATTAACACTAGTGGAAGTTGAATTAACACTAAGAGAAGTTGAATTAACACTAAGAGAAAGTTAAGTTGAATTGAATTAACTTCAGCCATATCAACTATAACCCCGAGTGGAACCCTCATTTAACTTTAAAATATTTAAAATAACATTTTTTTTGCGTTAAAAACAACTCTGTAATATTTTCCTCTGACATTTTCCTCCTCCAGTTTCTGCGGTGGAAAGGTCTGTGCTCACCTTTGGCCGGCACAGGTTTAGACGACGAAGGAGAACGTTCTGGATCGTCTTCTTGTTCTTCATCAGATTTCTTGTAGTAATACGGCTGATCAGGAGGACCAAACCTCTGCGGAGCAAAACAAAAACACAAAACACATCATCTAACGTTTGTACAAATTAATACTTGATCGTACCGTAAAATACCAAAGAAGAGCCGCGTTTCGTTTACCCGTTTCAAATAAACGCAGAGTCTAGCGAATAAAAAAATAATAAATAAATAAAAATCAAAGGAAGAAGTAACTAAGAAAATAAAAACTGTAAATGATACGAAACGAGAACTGAACTAATCAAGGACCAACCCGGGTCAAAACTAGAACCTAACTGGGTCTAAATGAGGATCGTGCCGGTACTGAACCAGGACTAAAAACCAAGACTGAACAAGGACTGAACTAGAACTAAATCAAGTCTAAACGAAGACCATGCCGGTACTGAACCAGGACTAAACCAGGTCTAAACCAGGAGTAAAACAGGTCTTACCCGGGTCTAAACAAGGGCCATGCCGATACTGAACCAGGACTAAAACAGGCCTATACTAGAACTAAACTAGGACTAAATCAGGTCTAAATGAAGACCATGCCGGTAATAACCCAAGACTAAACAAAGTCTAAACAAAGTCTAAACCAGGACTAAACCAGGACTAAACCAGGACTAAACAAGGACTAAACCAGGACTAAACCAGGACTAAACCAGACTAAACAAGACTAAACCAGGACTAAACCAGGACTAAACCAGGACTAAACCAAGAATAAACAAGGTTTAAACCAGGACTAAACAAGGTCTATACCAGGACTAAACCAAGACTAAACCAGGACTAAACCAAGACTAAACAAGGACTAAACCAGGACTAAACCAGGACTAAACCAAGAATAAACAAGGTTTAAACCAGGACTAAACAAGGTCTATACCAGGACTAAACCAAGACTAAACCAGGACTAAACCAAGACTAAACAAGGACTAAACCAAGACCTAAACCAAGGACTAAACCAGGACTAAACAAGGACTAAACCAGGACTAACCAGGACTAAACAAGGACTAAACCAGGACTAAACCAAGAATAAACAAGGACTAAACCAGGACTAAACCAGGATTAAACCAAGACTAAACAAGGACTAAACCAGGACTAAACCAAGACTAAACCAGGACTAAACCAAGAATAAACAAGGTCTAAACCATTACTAAACCAGGTCTAAACCAGGTCTAAACCAGAACTGAATCAGATCTAAACAAGGACCATGCCGGGACTTATCCAGGACTAAAGCAGGACTAAACCAGATCTAAACCAGGACTGAATAAAATCTATAAATTCTAGTCACACCGGTTAAAAGAATTTGAGAACCGTATTTTCCCAGTTTGCTGAGAAGAAAGCCTGGTCTCAAATAAAAGCCTGGTCTCAAATAAAAGCCTGGTCTCAAATAAAGGCCTGGTCTCAAATAAAAGCCTGGTCTCAAATAAAAGCCTGGTCTGTTAAATGAACTCCCCGGCCGTTATTTTGGTATTTTACAGAATATTCGGTGTAAATAAATGAAATTCCCCGAGCACCTTGTCCGGCCACATGAAGCTGATGAAGAGGACGGCCGGGAGTCCCACAGCGAAGACGTAAACGCTCCACAACCACGGACGAGCGTCGGCAGCCAGAAGAAGACTCTCGATCAGACCAGGCTGAGGAGATACAAGAGTCACTCCTCTGGAACATCTGACCTGACCCTCCTCTGACCCTCTGACCCTCTGACCCTCTGACCATCTGACCCTCTGCCTCTACCTCTGACCCTCTGACCCTCTTCCTCTGATCCTCTGACCCTCTGACCCTCTCCTCTGACCCTCCTTGACCCTCTGACCCTCTCTGACCCTCTCTGACCTCTCTCCTCTGACCCTCTCCTCTCTGACTCTCTGACCCTCTCCTCCTCTGACCCTCTGACCCTCTGCTCCTCTGACCCTAACCCTCTGACCCTCGACCCTGACCCTTGACCCTCTCTCCTCTGACCCTCTGACCCTCTGACTCCTCGTCTGACCTGACTCCTCCCTCTTCCTTCTGACCCTCTGGCCCTCTGACCTTCTGCTCTCTGACCTTCTTCCTCCTCTGACCTCTCCCTCTGACCCTCTTCTCCTCTGACCCTCTGACTCCTCTGACCTCTCCTCTGACCTTCTCCTTCCTCTGACCCTCTTCTCCTCTGACCATCTTCTCCTCTGACCATCTCCTCCTCTGACCCTCTCCTCCTCTGACCTCTCTCTCCTCCTCTGACCCTCTCCTCTGACCTCTCTCCTACCTCTCTGACCCTCCCTCCTCCCTTCTCTCCTCTTCTCCTCTGACCCTCTCCTCCTCTGACCCTCTGACCCTCTCCTCTCTGACCCTCTCTTCTGACCCTCTGCTCCTCTGACCATCTGCTCCTCTGCTCCTCTGACCCTCTGCCTCTCCTCTGACCCTCTGACCTTCTCCTCCTGACCCTCTGACCTCTCTCTGACCTCTGCTCCTCTGACTCCTCCTCCCCTCTGCCTCTCTCCTCTCGACCCTCTGACCTTCTCCCTTCTGACCTCTCTCCTCTGCTCCTCTGACCCTCCTCCTCTGCTCCTCTCCTCTCCTCTCCTCTCTGACCTTCTCCTCCTCTGACCTCTCTCCTCTGACCCTCTCCTCTTCTCCTCTGACCCTCTGACCCTCTGACCCTGACCTCTCTCTGACCTTCTCTCTCCCTCTCCCTCCTCTGACCCTTCTCCTCCCCTCTCCTTCTCTGACTCTCCTCTCTCTGACCCTCTGCTCCTCTGACCCTTCTCCTCCTGACCTCTCTCCTCCTCTGACCCTCTCCTCCTCTGACCCTCTCCTCCTCTCTGACCTCTCCCTCCTCTGACCTTCTCCTCTCTGACCTCTTGACCTTCTCTCTCCCTCTGACCCTCCTCCTCTGACCTTCTCCTCTGACCTCTCCTCCTCTGACCCTCTCCTCTCCCTCTGACCCTCTCCTCCTCTCTCCTCCTCCTCCTCTGACCTTTCTCCTCCTCCCCCCTCTGACCTTCTCTTCTCCTCTGACCTCCTCTCCTCTCCTGCCTCTCCTCCTCTGACCCTCTCCTCTGACCTTCTCCTCCTGACCCTCTCTCCTCCTCTGACCTCTCTGACCTCCTCTGACCTCTCTCTCTCTGACCCTCTCCTCTTCTCTGACCTCTCTCCTCCTCTCCTCCTTGACCTTCTCCTCCTCTGACCTTCTCCTCTGACCCTCCTCTCTGACCTCTCCTCCTGACCCTCTCCT